AAGAAACAACTTTTAATCGGCATTAAACTGCTTACACTATTTCGCTAACAAGAGAAAAAAATTCAGTGGCATACATGATTTTTTTAGAAAAATATTCTAGTGATAACCCATATGCACGTCCCTGGTGAATATGTCGCCACTTTTTTAGCTTTAAAATATGTCGCATTTATAGTAACTTTTACCCTCAAAAAATTTCATTCAAAACGCTAAAAGCACTTGGAAGAAAATTATAATAAATCGAAAAAATATTAAGACTTGTACACCCTGTAGCTACGAAACAACGCAGAATCGGACCTATGTTGATATGAAAAATAAATATTATTTTTACGTGGGGAACTCCCTACGGGATGACACATGTTTTTTGAAACGCCCTGTAGAATACACAAAAGTCTTTAAAAAAACTCATACCAATTTATCAATTCTGCATTATGTGCTACTCCAAAATAGCACATAGAAAACTAAATTTAAAAAAAAACGATTAATGATAAATATTTTTTTATCTCCAACTTCCATTTTTCCTAAAACACCTTTTAAAAAATCACTTTAAAAGAACTTATTTATAATCTCAGCATATGGTACGTCAAAACATAAGTAAAACAGTTTAACAAAAAAAGGTCCGAATCGAATCTCACTTTGTTATCAGCTTCATTCATCATTCTCAACACTTTCGTTCGTTTCTTTTTACACCTCCCCTCCCCTCCGTCGCCCTACAGGGTCCTTTATTGTTGATTTTCTGTCCGTAACCCTGTATATGCACACGCACCGAATTAATAAAAGTAAAAGTGGTCCAGCGGCGGCGACCGCGTACCATCCTCGTATACGTGCTTTCACCTTTTCTCCGGCGCATTTCTTTTTCCCTCTACCTGTCAGGTAGAGTGTGCGTTGGCCGCAGATCGCAGGCGGCCCCGAATAGAACGCGCGCTGGCGGTTCAAGGTCGAGCGCGGCGGGCGGCGCGACGTTGCCGGATGTCCGCGGCACACCTGCCGTTTTTTCGCTTTTTCTTAGGGACGGCGGTTTTAAAAAAGTCGATAATTTTAATTAACAAAGTGGCAGGCAAAAAAAATGTATCGAACTGTGTAAGTTCTGAAGGAAGGTGAAAACAAAAAAATAACCAAAGAAGCGATAGCCATACATTACTAACCTCTACAGATGCCTGAACAATACATTTATTTACATTAGACTGTATTAAAAAAAGCCTCTTTTATTCTCAGTTTTAGGAGTTTTAACAGCGCAAAAATGATTATGGAAGAAGCGATAGTCTCTAAACGAAAAATAAAAGAGGCTTTTTTAATACAGTCCAAAGTCTAACATAAATAAATGTATTGCTTAGGCATCTATTGGATTGACGTAGCAGTGTTTACAAAAAAGACTTATTTAATCTTGTAGATTTTCTTACAATGCGATTGGCGAAATACCCATAGGAGTTTTTTGAAAAAATGAATCCGCCACAGAGGTATAAACATTTTATAAGCATTTTAGTCCAATACATCAAATTATCTATCGATATTTGGATATATCGATAATTCTCCTCATCCCTACATTTCTCCGCGAACCCTATCCAACGATGCAACCCTTATTATATTATTTGTGCAAATGGACCGATCCATTCGTCTAAATTGGTAGGGAAAGGTGCTCGTTCTCTGAACGAATCGAATTATAAAAGGTGGTGGGTGTATTATAGGGTAGATAGATAGTTTTTGCTGTTGATAGAGCAGCTGCAGCTTGTAACGTTCGCAAATGTGTAAGTTTATTGTACAACTCTTATTTATATAGTATTTTAATACGAAAAAAAAATGTTACAGAAAAAATAAGTGTTAAAATAAGCGTGTACAAACACCATTAAACATTTTGGCAGCTTATAAATAATACATTTTTAGTATTAAACATTAAAATTCATTGTCCTCGATTATGATTAACTGAATATTTTGATCGAACTAGCAGCGGTCCAGGAAGCCATCATTATTTCCGTATTCATTAACCCTGAATAATACTAAATTTGTCTGTCGGTAATTCGCCAAAAACGAAACAAAATACAACATAAAACTCGGTTTTTATTTCCTGGCCAATTCGATACACGCACTTGACCTCTCTCTTGAATTATTATTAAATCCCAAGCCTTGAAATCGGCCATTTGGACAAAGGCCACGAAGTGGGCCTAGTCGTATCCCGACACGATTTATTTTGCCGTACCAGTGCCGGCGCATCTTGGCTGCTGGTCAAAATGTTGGATAACAAACACGTAATCGACTTTTGTTCTAATAAAAAAATGATGTGCTTGTATTAGAGGTTAGAGTAAACACTAGTTTAACTAGTGGTAGTTTTAGGAGTGGTACGAATGAAAAATCTGTTGCTTGGGCCTTGTTAGACTAATTTATCGAAAAGATGAAAACTGAGTTATCCAGTGTATATCACTTAGAGCCCAGTGGCCTTTCGCTAGGAGTCGTCATTTTCAAAAAGAGTCAAACATTTTTGTTCAGTTTTAAATGTCTAAAAATATATTATACCCTATACTTACTTTCATAAATAAGATAAAAACTGCATTATTAAACTTTAAAAAATAAATCAACCTAGTTTAAAAGAGTATTATGCCTTTATTTAATGTAATTTAACCATTACAGTTGGGGGTTGGTTAAGGGGGTTGGTTATTGGGGGATGCTAACATGGTTAGCGAAACGCGCGTCCAGTGTAAAAGTAAACGTGTTTTGGTGTATTGTGGTGATTTAGTGTTTTATTTTGCTGTAATTTAACCAGATAATTTTGTTTTCCATCATGATATTTTAACAAACTGCACTAAAATGAACTTATGTAATTTTTGGAGAACATCAGGCTATTAATCAGAGTTATTGGTATTTTTGATGCACCTGGGACTGGCGCGGAATGACCGATAAACAAAATTTGACGTTAAATAAATTATGTGATGTTTTAATTACCTAATTTAAAACGGCCGCCTATACAGAATGTCCCAGAAATAAGTGCAAGTATTTTAAGGGGTGGTAGATCTCAATAAAAGAAACATATTTCCTCTTTATCGTTTTTCAAATAAGTCCAAAATAACGGAGTTATTTTACTGAAAATTTCCAAAAAAAAATGATTTTTTGCTAAAATTTTGAAAACCACTGGATCTTTTCTGGATTTTCTTTCTTGTAAATCTAATCTAATTCCTATGTTGCCATATTGTCAAGAAATTATGGTTTTTGACTAAAAACTAAAAAAAAATCCAAAAAATTTCGAATTTTCAAAAAAAAATTTCGCGAAAAAAACCTCATAGGCGTGTTTCTGGAGTTGAACTATACTACCAGTTAAAATACTTGCACTTATTTCTGGGACACCTGTATATGTCAGAAAACAATGCATTTTTTACCTAGTTTATGAAAATAAGCAAAGAGTATACTATATTAATTTTTAGAACGCTCATAACCAAGGTAAATAAAATAAAACAAATAATATACAGGATATCCCAATTAAAAATTGGTCATATTTCAATAATGACAGGTCCCAGCGAAAATCTATTTACATCACTAAATTCTGCGTAAAAAAAATTATGTGTCTCAATTTTCAAACATTTTCAAATTCGCCCTGTATTTCAGAACTCAGAGGGCTAAGACAAATCTGTGTGTAGAGTCTTTAGTTTCATGTAAAACCCGTATTTTTGGATTCATAAACGAGAAACCCTGTAAAACACACAAAAATGGGACCAATAATAATTCCATAACCCGAAAATTAAAAAAAAAATCTGGAGATTTATTTGACAATTTATTTAAATCATAGTTCTTTTGACTTGGTTCGTTTTTGCAGTAAACAAACCATAAACAGATACACTTCATTATTTATTTAATTTAAAATAGCCGATTAATTAAATAACTATTACTGACTCACTGGTAAATTTCCAATAACGATAGAAGAAAGGAAAAAATCGAAATAACTTTCATCGAGCGTTCGATGCTCCGCCTCTGGTGCCGGCCAGTTTCGTGATTGTGGTCGTCGAACACCGCGCCGCGATTAGGCCATTGACATTGGCAACCGGCCTTCAACTCGACGGTTTTTGCGTCTCTGTAGCACGCACTGAAACCCACGGAAAATAACTAGGCGCAGGTAGAAGGGAAAGCCCCTGTTCCACCCTAAATTTGTTTTTTCCAAAGCCACATAACAACCCTCGATCGAAGCAAAAAACTCCTTATTTCCGGCCTTACGATTACAATATAGAGAGTCAGCCGTGAAGTCTGCATCTAATACATTTTATATACTATGATCGAAAAAAAAACGGCGTTATACACGGCTGGGGAATGACAAACAATTATAATTTTGGCCAGGTCAATCTCTAGACGTTACATTTCATTTACTAAAAATTGACATAAAACTTGTCAAAAATTAACACAAATTATACAGTATGTCCCCGGATTGTATTTACAAGAGGAAAAACTTTTTTATTATTGACATTTTGAGAAAAAAGCATTCTTCATTAAAATTTTTGCTTGTTCTAAAATGGTTAATCCCGTTTATACTTTTCCAAATTTCCATACAGTGTTAGAGAAAATTAAAAAAACATGAAAATGTACTTGAATTTTTTCCTAAGAATCAAAAAGTCCTAAAAATCAAAAGGCGTTTCAATGTAGGTAATATCAATTCGATTTCATTCTTTGCTAGATGGTTATTATTTTGATTAATGTCATATTCTTTGCTGTTGTTAAAGTATCATATTTTCCGATAACTATTATCACCCTTTCCGCACTGGGTGAACTGTTTCACTCTTCACCGAGCTGTTCACTGTATAATAGAAAGACGAATAAATCTGGCTGTGTATATTTCTCGTAACGAAGTCCTTAGCAGTGTCCTTACCATGATAAATATTTAATACCGCGACCATTTTTTCTGGTATCGACGGTTCTCGTTCGTTGACGTCACGATTTCGAATTTAATGGTAAGGACGACAGACAGTGCGGTGCAGGAAGTACCAGTCCTGGCTTAAGGACGAAATGAAAAAAGAAAAACTGTGCCTTACCTTGCAGCCTTCGCAGGAGTGGACGCCATAGTGAAAACCGGAGGCCTTGTCGCCGCATACTCGGCATAGCACTGTCGTACCGTCAAATTCTGCAATAAAACAATGGAATTAGTTTTTATTATGTACTAGATAGATATAAACATTAGTCAGCTTTTAAAATTTAAATAACTGATTAAAAGTCCATATACAGAGTGTCCCCAGGCTGAGCGTGTATTAGAATTTTCTAGAGAACTACAATATCTAGATCGGAGATTTCTTGCACATCATTGTTTTACAACGAGATCTATCGATTAAACATATTTTCAATATGGCAGCACTTCCGGGAATACCGGAAGTTGACAGCAACTTTCTTATTTTTAAAGGGGACCTCCATTTATTATTACATACTTAAATTCTCTGTAAAATTTGATGAATTTTTTATATCAAACACTCTATACCTAACATTAACCGTTTTTGAGGAAAAAACTGCCTGCTAAAAAAAATTGTATAGTCTAAACGTAAAATTTAGTGATTACCACAGCCGCTGTAATATACAGAGATGTGGCCAACTATTTCAAAAATTAAATTGTTTGAATGTCATATTATATTGGCCGTAGCTGTCATGGAATTGAGCGATTAAAAAATTATAATAAATCATTTTTTTTTTCAAATGGAAACCCACCTTCTTTATTTCACTAGTGAATCACTAGTCACTTTTTCAATTCGTTACTTTTTGATTATACATGTTTTTCTGCACCTAAAATAAATCGTTTTTAAGTTATTTTAGATTTAGATAGTTGTAAGGCTAATATTTCTTGATATTAACTATTCGCCTATGACTTTAAACGACAAATGATATGTAAAACAATATATCTGGCGATGTCATAAGTATTGCAACACTGTGTTTGTGAATTAGTAGTCATATAGACCGTCTTAGTAAGGGGGAGGGGGGTATAGCAGGTGCCTGAGTAAATATGGTAATATAAGTATCGATTTATGCATTTCAAAAATAAAAAAAATCGGGTGAACTTAATCTTAATGTTTTTATATACAGGGTAGTCCGAACTGTATTCCGTAAAAAATATCTCTTTATAAAAATCGCTACGAGCAACCGTTCTTAAGATATTTAGAATGGAAATAGACAATACATGTCATTATTGACGAAAAATAAACACGTTGAGTAGATAGTTATTTCACTGAAATAATAAATTTGGGAAATTTTTATTTTTTTAAATTAATCATAATTTTTTCTGCAAAAAATTATGATAAAACAGTTTCTGTTGAAATTTTAGCACAAAAACCTTTCAAATTTATGATTTCAGTCTAATAACTGAAATCAACATGTTTAATTTATGTCAATGATGACAGGTATTGATAATTTCGATTCCAAATATCTCGAAAACTATTACTCGTAGCGATTTTTACCAAGACACCTTTTTCACGTAAAAAAACGTCGCAAATGTATATTTTTTTACTCAGTAGTTTTATACAGGTACGGACGAAAAGTTATTACTCTTCAAACCAGTTAAAAAATATGTAGGTGGCGCCCTCTACTAGTAGGACTCATATTGACATCAAAATCAAATTTCTAATGTCAAAAAACTCCCAGACACCAATTTTCATCCAAATATTGACCTTAATTCAGAAATTATTTGGAAAAAATCGAAATAAAAGTGAAACTTCTACACCCTGTATCTCCGAAACTAAGCATTTTTGGACATACATTTATACGAACTGTTTTACTTATTTTTATCTGCAGAATATGCTACCAAAGTTTCCGGAATACAATTCGGACCACCCTGTATAATCAATAGAGGATAATAAATAACTAGGATAATAAGAAAGTGTAAAGAAGTAATATACCTATAGTTGTATTATAAAAAATTAACGGTCCAGGGGAAAAACATGATAAGGGTGCCATTTCACTGATTTTACAGGAGAGCACCGGACGCGGACGGCTCGTAGTTATCAGGTACTTGCCGTGTATTCTATATTTTTACTAGGCATACCTATATCATAGGATTTAACAACTTATTGCCCTGCAAAGTTTATAAGTACATTTTGTAGGGACAAAACTATAATATTTTGTAAAATCCTAAAATTAAGAAATTGGCACTTACCTATCAAGTTTTCCCCTGGACCCTTCAAATGTTTTTGTACTTTTAGGTCTTGGAAGTGAAATGTGCATAATTAATGATTGTATAAATCTGTCCAATGGGAGAATCTCTGATACCGACATGACAGTTGTGTCTATCATTTTAATTCAAAGACAAGTTGATATTTGTCATTAATTGGATGTCGTGTGTCGATATATTCCCTGACTCGATGGACACACTTTACTCTTCTTTTAATCAATTCTTCATAGGTATAAATAAGAAAGTTGTAAAGTTGCAGCAAAGTGCATCTGTGTTACAATTTTTTTTACAATTTAATAGTACATTAGATAGAATAATTCCAATTTCAAAAACTGCAGTGTATTTTAATTAAAGTTTTATGACAGCATGAAGTTTATTAATTGGAATAACCTCGGGAATAACCATGTGGTACGCTTCTAAGACAACAAAATAATGTCCCTTTCTATAGACAGGACGAACAAAAAAGTGACTGGGCACAACCGATCAATAGTAATTCGATTGTTACCGAGGTGAAATTGAAAAAAAAACATCTCGCTCCGGAGATTGCAGCAAAAAGAAGACGCCGCGCTCGGAGAAAGAGCCACGACCGCCGAAGAAATGCTTTTACTTTCTCCGGGAGCACGCGGCTCGGGCTCGTCGTTACGCAAGCCGAGCCGAACGAGATGGTGAAAGTGGATCGAGAGAGTGCACTGAACGCGCGCCAGAGAGAAATTACGCAAGTCGTTGGTCCCACATCCACAGCCGAAGCCAACGAACTGCCTGCCAAAGGGCATTGCTCGCTCAATGGCAACGGCCTGAGCCGTTAGCTCTGGATTAGAATAATAAAATACGTACGTCAAAAATACGGTAACGCTTGTAAACAAATGTTTACAGGTCACGAAATATTTAGTGTTTTTGATAATTATTGGAAAAACTGGAAATCGTCCGATTTTCATCAAAATTTACACTAAAAAAACGGAATTTTTCTTTATTATTATATAATAAAGAAATTTTTTATTATAGCCCTATATTATATTTCAGCCCTATATTATATTATAGGGCTGAACCTATAAAGTAATAATTTCACCATATTTTCATTATATTATAGTTTATTTAAAAGCCACACTTGATTGAGAATAGAAAAATGTCCAAAATTTTACTGAAAAACACTTTTCTTAACAAAATAACAAAGAAAATTGAGACCAGATGGAAGTTTGACTTTTCATAAATCCTTCTTTCTCTCTCCAATGCAATGAGAGAGACAAATATTATTCTACATCTAATCTAGAAATTTGCAAATTTGCAACGTTGCCATATCTTGTATTTTTTCGGGTGATTTTAAATAAATTACCTATTACGAGATCTGACAATAGTTAAATATAACCTATTACCACAAATTTGCACGCAAGTGTTTTGATTGCGTTGGTTGCGTTTCAACTTCTTTGCGGAGGGGGTTAATCTTAATTTGATATAATATAACAAAAACGGATTAACCCCCTCCGCAAAGAAGTTGAAACCAATGCAATCAAATCTTTTTCGTGCAACTTTGTGGTTATATAGAGTTAGATCTCATTGGTAAAATAGCAGTTATGCGTAGGAGCCGTTCCTCTGGTGACAGCCTATCATCCTAATCCCAGGGGAAGCGAAAAAAACGCGCTAAATTTAGGTTTAGCACTGGCAACGTTGCTTTAAATGTCAGAAACACATAACCCAACATTTTCAGATTGTTTACGAATTTATTTTAGCAAATTGTCCTCTATTATGCATAGAATTGCTTAAAAAAGTAACAGAAAATAGAAAAACCTGATTGTTAATTGAATACCTAACAAAATATGTGCTAGAAAAAAGGTAAGAAACATGTCATCATTTTTATTATACTTTTTTGCATTAACAACTGATTTTTATGTGTGCTTTGTTTTTTTTTTGATGGACACATAAATATTGAAATTTGTGTCTATATAAATCTGCCTATGCAGAGGAATTTCTAAAATATCACTGATCAGAAATTTAAGAACGTTCTAAAGTTGGGACACTTAAACAGTGCTCTAGCAACGATTCTATAAGTTGCTCATGAAGTTTTATCAATTCCTTTGTTGTTCTATGTTTACCTCCTTTCTTTCTAGATTGTGATTAAAAATAACCAACCATTTATACACGCCATGTTAATAATGCCATAAGATACCTACACAGAGAGGCCATCTCTTTCTTCCATTTCTGAGCTGCTATATACATACCGCCAATCATCTGATGACTGTCTTGTATCCCCCCACCTCTTTGGCACTTTTCGATAAATTCGTCTTTAAAATAAACAGCTGCTCGAGAATGCCCCCAAAAATATTAACGTGCATACTAACTTTTCCTAAAAAATATGCCTCAATGCCGATTTTGGTTATATATAAACTAATCCTCGTCATAATACACGCTGCCAGATCGTCCAACTGATTGATGAAGCTAGACGAACACTTGAAATTCTACGACAAATAAATAGATAGTTTCCAATTTTTGAACTACTGTTTGATGATAAAATAACATTCTTATAAGACACTTATTTGACATCGTGCGACAGTTATTCCATCTTGAAAACCTATAATAATGTATTGTTGATACCCATAGATCTTCAAAATACATAAAAGACCAACTCTTATTCACTGAAATTATAAACCTGCACCAACATCGTTTTCATCTATTGTTAAGAGAGAAAGTCATCATTATTTAAATCATATTTATTTGTAAACACCAGATTTACCACCTCTGTATTTACACTTATTACTTTATTTACCATTTTTTTCTGTGTGAAAAAAGCAAACGAATAGAGAATATTACATTTATAAATAGATGCCCAAAAAAATCGATCATGTTTCCATTTAATGATCTTGAAATTTATCTCCAACGTTACGATTTCGACAAACAATATAAATGTCATAACAACAATCGAAATAACTTTGTTACCCAACAGCAAGGAGAAAAACATAATGTGGGTGCCAACGACCTCCTAT